GTCTTCTTGGATGGAATAGATGTTTTCTTCCATTTTACCCGAAACCCAAAACACCAAAACTCTAAACCCTCAACCACCCACCTGTCTTTCTAGAGGCGAGCGGGCGCCGTCCTGCGCTCAGCGAGACCATGCAGTCCGAGCTAGGCTGATCGGGTCTTGCAGGCACACCCGAAAGGTCGCCGCGTCGCGAAACACTGTCCTGATAGACATTTCATGACCCTAAGCCGAGCCTTTGCTCTCTAACCCTCGCAGGCTATCCCCTTGATGCCAAAGGCTAAGCCCTCTCTGCTAAAGGCAAAACCTTCGCTGCTAAGGCTAAACCCTCGCTGCCAAAGGCTAAGCCTCGCTGCTAAAAGCTAAACCCTCGCTGCCAAAGGCTCAAGCTTCGCTGCTGAAGGCTAAACCCCCGCTGCTATAGAAGCAATGAGAAGGCCCTCCGGCCGAAGACGTCCCCGACGCAAAGCCTGATTTTCTCTCGCAGCTTCTAGACATAACTAAAGGCATCTTTATAGCAACAGGTCTTTCGCCATGCAGTCTTCACACCCCGGCGTACAGAGTGAGAAGGCCCTCCGGCCGAAGACGTCCCCCAACGCAAAACCTATTTTTTATCTCGGAAGCTTCTGATTCTAATGTCTTTCCAAGGCATCTCCTGCGATGATAGCATGCAGCAAATTGCAGCAAGGCATCTTCATAGGCAAGCTCCATAAGGAAACGAAATGTGTTTGAATGTTCGCTGGCTTTTGTTCGGCTGGCTCTGGTTTGGCTCGTGTTGAGCAGTGTTTTGGTGGTCTTGGGGTGGGCATGTCTGCACACAATTGCGTGCAGCTGACCAATGCTGCAAACCCTAAACCGAAAAACCCTAAACCCTAAACCTTTGCTTGGAGGCCTGGCCTTTTGCGAGCCTTTTCGGGTGATTTTCGGGGGCCATTTTAGAGGAGTCTCGGGGACTGCCTTTGGGGCTTTTTGGGTGGCCTGGGGGCCTATAGTGCTTCCCAAAGGCGTTTGTTTGATTCATTTACGTAAACTCGGCTTGTCAGCTGTTTGTTTAATTTACTTCGACTTTGCTTGTCAGATGTTGATTCACGTAGTTTGGGAGATTCACAAGGATTTTACTTACAAATTCTATGTATGTTTGTCTTGAAGGTTCACGGTGTAGCGTTTAGGCGGTGTTTTGGGTTTAAGGTTTAGGGTTTAGGGTGCCAATCAAGGTCTGCCTCGGCTTGCCAGCGTACTGATAGGCTTTGCTCACGGTGCTAATGTATACGCAAACTGATCTGGTTGCTGAGAACTCCTAGTTGAACTCGGATGCAGTGCGAAGCTCGAACATGTTTTTTTGCTAAGCGCCGCCGAATGGTATTCTTGCGTTTGTATCGAAAGTCCCACTTGTGCATGCCGCTTGCCTTGCACAGCTCATAGTGCGGCTTTGTTCGCAACGGCAAAAAAAGGCACACATCCGCAGCTATCTTACATGCTTTCTGAGAGGCGATGGCGAAGTGAATGTCTCCGCAAAAAACCTCTGCTACTTCCGTGCGGCCCTGTGGGCATCCCCTGGCCCAAAGACCTTGCAGGTTTAGGGTTTCAGGTTTTCATGAACAGTCTATGCCCAAAAGACCAACGCCCGAATGCCAGCAGCTATCCAAAATTGCTTGTTCGTCATCGGGAGTTGGGAATTGACGGAATTGGGGCACGTAATTCTGATTTCCCTAGCTCCCTGTTAAGAACCAGTACGTAAAACGCTAACCAGCCTACCAAGGCCGTTAAGGGGCCACTGTGCTCCCGAAACAAGCAAACTATAGCCCGCAATTCTCGTCTACTAACCGGTGAAGTTGGGAGCTTCCCTACGCACGCTTACATACCTACTATACGGGGTCTGAAATTTAGAGTAACCCTTAAACAAACTCAAATTTAGAGAGCCGCCCGGGTAGACGAGAGGGCGCTGCGAATCCCTCACTTGGAAGCCCTTCTGACTTGGTAAGTAAGGTAGGGTTAGTTATGGGGAGTTATACCGGGGTGTCTAGGGGATACGAAGAAAACTTGCTAAGTTAAAAGAGCTTCTAAGCAGGGCCCCCTCATTGAGTTTCCGCTGGCACGGACGCCGTCTCTTTGGGCTTCCACCTGAGTGGGGAGTTACCCTAAGGATTTGGGGTCTAAGGCGTAAGGTTTAGGGTTTAAGGTTGGGTTTAGGGTTTAAGATGGGGCTTAGGGTTTAAAACCTTGGTTCATCATTGAAGTTGCAACCCAAAAAACTGAACCAAAATCCTGAACCAAACCCTACAACTGTACTCTAAACACATAATCACCTTTAGGTGTTGCAAGGTTCTGAAAGCTGCTTGGAACGTTGCAGGGGGCGAGAGGCCAAACGCGAAGCTGGTCAAAAGCCCAAATCTCGGCGAAGAAGTCCTTTCTCTTTCTTTGAACGGCCATCCCTGAACCACCTAGGGGTTTAGGGTTTAGGCTTTAGGTCCTAAAGCTCAGGGTTTGGGATTTTCGGGTTCCGGGTCGGAAGTTAGATGAGGCCACAAGCAGTGTGAATCCCGTGAGGCCCAAGCGTCTTTCGCCCTTCTTCGGCTCCTTTCTTTCCCTGAAGAAGGGCAAGTCAGGGGGGACCTGGGGCTGAAACTTCAGAGTTTAAGGGTTCAGGGGTTTAGGGGTTAGAGATTAGGGGTTGATGATCCAGCACCTGAAGCCCTTCTCAGCCCGAAACCCTAATTACAGTAGACCCCAAACCCTATAGTGTTGGGGTCGCGTTTAAGCTGAACAAAAGTCTTGTGGGACCGGTCGTGGGGTGGGTCTGGGGAGTTCTGGGTTTCTTCTGGGCGTAGATTGTGTGGACGCAATTTTGTCCATTAACACCCCTGTTGATTGCTACCGAGCTCCAGATGGGACATCAGACTCTTCACAGCCAAACATAATCATGAAACATTTTTTGGGCCCAAATCCCGGCCGAAAAAGCATCCCCTAGCAACACACTCTTTTCGGAGAAGCCCCGCGCCAGGTTGATGAGACACACCGCTGGGTCGCCCGCATGTTTGGACCAGGTCTTTTTCTCTCGGGCCTCTGTGGGGCTCCGGCGCGATGGTTGTGGGGAGAGGGGCTTCTGGAAATTTAGGGTTTCAAGGGTTTTTAGGGGATTGGGTTACATGTGGAATTGGGGTTTCGGGGTTACGTAGGTTTACGGTATAGGGGGATCGTAGCTGGGCTACCCCAACATGGCCCTTCATCCTTCCTGGCCTCAGTCTTCTCCTCCCCCGCGACCTTGTCAAAGGGGAAGGTCGAAAAGCTTTCTAGACTCCTGTTTAGGGGGGGTTTAGGGTGCAGGGTTTAGGGCAAGAATAACCTAGAAACCAAAAAAGTGCCCTTGTTGGACTGAAGGGGTGTAGAAGGGAGGCCAAAACACTAAAGAAAGTGAACAAGGGCCTACTATGGGTCCTAGACGGAGCGTTCAGGGTCCGCCCCAAACCTCTTAGGGCCCTTCATTGCGGAACCCTTGCATAACGTTTGCTAGACCCCTAGAGAACCCAAGGGCAATTATTTCAGAACACTTTTAAGACGGTTATAAGGGACCACATCACGGGACCATGCAACTTCCCAACCTTCAAACCTCTCAAACACTCGCAAACCCTCTCAAACCCTCTCAAACCCCCTCAAGCCCCAAACCCGATCAAGCCCTCTCAAAACCCAAGCTCCAGGCCCTAAACTCTCCTCTGGCCCTGGACCCTCCTTGGACAGTTCCTGGAACTGGGGCCTAAACAACCCTCAAACCAAACCCTAACCCCCCCCCCCCCCCCCCGTCCCAACAAAACACTCATCTACCCCACGGCTTGAGAATTTGAGCCGGCGGCCGGCTCCGCCCACTGGCTCCTTGTTGGCTCAAGCTTCGGGCTTCGCGAGCCCTAATTGCCCCTAAACACCCCCAAGCCCCTGAACTTTATAAAGCCTAAACCCTAAACCCTACAATGTGCATGAACCTGCTTCGAAAGGCCATCTTGTTCAGAACGACTGAGACCCTAGACCTCAAACCCTAAACCAATCCTCTAAACCCCAAACCCGTCTGGGAGTTCGGGCTCCGCAGGGCTTCCGGGGCTTAAGCACGCCCGTTCAGGGTTTAGGGTTTGGGGGGGTTCTGGGAGCTTGGAGTTCGGGTTTCGAGTTATACTAAAGTTGTGCTGCGAAGCCACCGTCGCGGAGCAACTACATTGCCAGGTCTCGTCCATAAACCCTAACACCCTGCAAAGCTGAACTGAAACCCTAGACCCAAAAGCCTCAACCCTAAAGCCTGATATCCTACCGAAAACTTGCCAAACAAATGGGAAATTGGACCTGTCAAATTGCAAGTCATAAGCCAACCCCTACATGGGGACTGATCCAAGATGATCTAAATGATTGGCCCCTTTCTATTTCTGGTAAAGAGGAGCTGGACATACGATACGAAGACCCCCGCCCCCCCCCCCCCCCCCCCCGTAAAACGGCGGCCCATCAAGCACATACCTAAACCCAACCCCACATCTTAAGTTCCCGGCGGTTCAAAAGGCTTCGCAGCAGACGTCAGTCGGGTGCGGCTCTCGGCTTGTCCGTCGCCTTCTGTAGAGTTGAAGGGTTCAGGGGTGTAGGGGTTCAGGGTTTGAGGGGTTTAGGTTTTAGGGTTGAAGGGTCTCAGGGCTTGAAGATGCTTGAAGGCCAGGCTCTGGTATCCCTACCCAAAACCCCTAAACCCCTGAATAGGCAGCAAGGAATTACCTTTGTCCTTTTCCAACTGCACAGAACCTCCGGAACCCAGGCGCCAAGCCTCTAGGGTGTCGGGCTTCGGTCAAGGGTTGAAAATTTTCGGGTCTAGGATATGGGGTTAAGGGCTTGGACTGCAAGAAACCGAAGTCTGGTACTTTAGAGATCCAAGAAAGGTTATACCCCACCCAGCCCTAATAAACTCAACACGATCAAGGTCATGATTCGATTTATGGTTCACGGTCATCACCGCACTTACAGTTCAAAGAAGGTGCAGCCTTCGTCAGCATCCTCCTCCACGGGTTTGGGTTTCGGCGGAGGCGGTGGAATGCCGAAGCTGGGCACGAAGATCGGTGCATCCTGAGCCACGGTGCAGCTATTCTGCACCGGTTTCCAGGCTGATCGCTCTTCAGACCCAATGACCGTCAACAACCCTGAACTCAATGGCTAGCCCGCGAGTGCATAAAGTCTGCTATAGGGTCGGGTGCTCGAGTCCCAACCCGAAAAAACCCTAAAGATGTAACGTTTAGGGGTCTTGGGACACTCGAACCCCTCACGATTGGAGCAAATGCCCCGAAACTCGGTTCAGCGCCGATTTGAGCTTTTGCCGCGTCAGGGCAATGGCCTGCCAAGAGGACCCTGAAGCCTGAAACTCTGCGGGGGTCGGGTTGGGGTAAACCTTGCAGTTTAGGTTGGTACGGGCAAGCCCTATAAACCCCTGTGTCTGAAACCCGAAAACCCAATAAGACAAGCCCTGCAAACTAACAGAAGCTGGCTTGAAGTGGCGGGGCTTCAGGCGGGGCTTTGGGGCCTGAAGTCCAGGGATTTCGGAGTTTCAGGGTCCAGATGTTCAACCAATGAAATCAGGCTTGCCTGTGCTGTGCCCTCTCAGCCCGGAGCCCTACACCCTAAACCCGACCCATCCTAAGGCCTTCAGACCATGGGAGCCTATCATTGGGGTTCACAGGGGCCTGCTGAATTTGAATGTGGATTTTTTTGGGGATAGGATACCCTATAAGCCCCCTGAAAGGCCCCCCCCCCCCAAAAAAAAAAAAACCAGCCCATCTTCCCGATGCCATGCCACACCTCTAAATCGAGTTCGGCATCGGGGTCCTCCTGACGGGCGGCAAAGCCACGGCTTCAGGGGACTAGGGTTGAGGGTTGATAAGCTGTAGGAGCCCTGAACCCAAAACCCAAAACCCTCAACCCCTAAACCCCTCATATGAAGATCCACCCTAGACCGTTTTAACTCTCAAACCCCAAAACCTTCAATACGCAATGAAGCGCTTACCCCCGCGTCAGGGCCCGGCTCCTTCACTCGATCAGCTTTGCTCACCTCCTTCTGAGCTTTCTGGTTCGAATAGAGGTCGAGAACCTGGCCAAGTTGGGGATTCTCAGGTGTGGGGGTTTAGGGTTTAGTTTCTGGTTCAGGGAATTTTGAGTTTTGGGTTTCAGGTTTAGGGGTTTAGGGCTTAGTTCAGGCATCAGGGTTTTATAGGGTTTGGGCATGAAAGTAATGTAGGATACTGGACTTTCCAAGGGGGGAGTTGCCAGGGCTGTGGGTGAGTGGTTTGCAAGCAAGATCGCTCTTGCACATCGAGGCCGTCTATTCTAAGGGACCCTAGACCCTAAACCCAGCCATACCATAAACCAAAAACCTTACACCCCCAGACCCCTCAAAAACCCTAAGCCCTACAGCCAGGTTACCCAAACCCATGGGTGTAGTCAAGCACCCTCAGCCGGCCTTGTCCAGCAATTCGCTGTTGGGGCTGTGGCCGGACGCCTCCATCCTGATCTGGCTGTTTAGGATTAAGGGTTTCAGGGTTTAGGGTCTAAGGTTTAGGGGACCCTAAATCCGTGCCCCGCGCTTCATCAAGAAGTCGCTGGCCGACTTCAGGTCCCGGGCGACCACGCAAGCCTGACGGCGCGAGTGGGGTTTAGGGTTTAGGGCTTTGGCATTGGGGGGCTGGCTACGCTACTCGTCCACTGCTCGCATCAAGTATATAAGAGGTAATCAGAAGGGAAGCTAAGTCAGCAGATGATCTCTTGGACAGCAAGACGAACACAGCATTGCCCTCCCTGCCTCAATCATAAGGGTGAACGTGGTCGCGGAAACGTCGACGCTTGCTGCGTCTAGCTGCGCGAACAGGTCCTGAGTAGATGTTGACAAATGACATTCTGGATCCGTAACCCTAAACCCCAAACCCAAAACCCATGCCTCCCACATGCGGATTCAATGTCAGAATGCCCGATGTTTGGTACCCCACTGAACAGCTATAAATCGAGAGCACAGAGGATGAGCTCCACTAGGGCATCCCAAAGCACTGAAGCTAGTTGGGGCATACACACTCTTGAAGATGCAAGGCTTACGGATTGGACACCTGGTCTGGAGGCTCGTGAACATTCACTGCAGTGGACGCTACAACTGCTGGCCGGTAGGGTGTGGGGTAGAGAGCCTAAATCTAAAACCCCAACACCTCTACAACCTCAGTCGACCCCAAACGTCCCAGAAATACCCTCAATCCTTACTTTCTCGTCTGTAGAAAGGTTTCGTGGAACTAGGTAACCCTAAACCCTAAACCCTCAACTCCTCTATCATCCTTTCAAGGGTTATGGGGTTGGGGGTAGGGGTTGAGGTTACCCCTGGGCCTTGGCCACGTCCACGCGCTTGAAGCCCATGGATCCGCGCAGGACCATCTGAGCCTCGAGCATGAGCCCTAAACCCTAAACCTTAAATCCTAAACCCCAGATTGGATAATCGAAAATTGAACAGGAGGTTCAGGCCCACATGAAGGCTTCGAGCTTTCTAGGGCTCTAGCGTGTCAGATGCTTTTTGGGGAGGGGTTCGGGTTAGGGTTTCGGGTTTTGAGTCTAAGGCTAAGGGTGTTTGCTGGTTGATATGGGGCCTGTCCAAGGTTCACCCTAAAACCCGATGCCACGAAGAGCAAAGCCCCTCAGGAAAAGTGCTCTAAGCCCTAAACCCTAAACCTTACCTTGTTACTTAGAGGGTGCCTCAGGTTGCCGAAGGGTGAAGTGCTAACCCGATTTCGCAAACCCTGGAAACCGAAAAGAGCTCGGGAGAGAGCTTCAAGACAGCCAAATCCGAACCGCGACAGACCCGAACACAAGAACAGGCTAAACAGAAGCCCAAACCAAACAAAAGCTGGAAAACACTTCGACTGAACAAACAAAACCCAAAACCCAAACCCTTAAACAAAGGTCCGAAAAATACTCTAGCAACACCCAAGAAAACTCTGCAGACCACAAAAGCAAGTAGGCCTTCCAAAGCCTGCTGTAAGCGTTTAGGGTTTTACGATTCTCGGGTTTTTAGGATGAAGGATGTTAGTATGGGTTACCCCAAACTAAACCCTGAGCCCGAAACCCTAAACCATAACTAAAGCCCAGCCCGATGCGCCTCTGCATTCGCTCTGTCTGCACTGGCTTCGCTGAGGTCCAGTACTTGGGGCGTCGGAGCCTTTGCTTGGTTTACGGTTTAGGGTTCTTCGCATCCTAAATCCAAAAGCCCTAGAATCCTAAAACGTTGTATGTCGCCCTGTTAAGCATCTTGGCATGCTTCTCGCTTGGATGGTCCGCAGACGTCTTGCATAAAACCCTAAACCCTCAAACCCTGAGAGGTAAGAGGCGTTAAGGTCCTGGGTTCTCTTTGGTTGCTGCGAAGTCTTGCTTTGAGGCTTGAGGTTCTGGTTATAAGGGTCTAAGGTGGTAGGCTCTACGATTCAGAGGTTTGGCCTTAAACCCTGGAGGGCTCGACGGGTTCTCAATGATTCGGGGGATTAGGTACTCCAGTTGGGATGATCGAGGATCCGCGCTGCTTTGATCTTCTGTGTAGACTGGGGAAATTGTGGGCCCTCGGATGCTTTTGGTTTTTGGGGTTCAAGGCTTAGGGTCCAAACCGAACCCCTAGCTAGTGCAGAGCTCCCCCTTGAAACAGGCGCCCCTAAACGCTAAAAGGTACACTCTAAACCCTAAACCACCGAGACCGGCCTGCGTCTTCTTGTTGAAGGCGACGTAGTTGAGGAATGATTCCAAATTCATCTTCTCCTCCGAGGAGCGCAGCGGGAGTCTTGGGTACCCTTAGGGTTTAGGGATTTAGGGATTCGGGAATTAGTGATTTTGGGCTGCGGAGACGAAGGAACCGAAGCGAACGAAGCCCTGGCCAAAACCACTTCCCGCTTTGAGGTTTCGGGCTTGGTCTCCGGTTTTGCGGGGTCTGGGGCTTGACGGCTTCGGGGTCTTAGGCCCTAAACCCTAAAACCCTAAAGCCCATAAACCTAGAACAAGACAGATGCGTGGTCCTCGGACTCTTTGTGCTGAAGCGCCCCTTGCGCCGATGGCGGCAGCTCTGATGGCGCCTGGCCACGGAGACTGTGTGTCTAAACCCTATCAGCCCTACACTCGGAAATGAGCGTCCGAGCACCCCCACCCAAATATGGCTACCACCTAAAGCTATAGTGTTACTTAGAATTCCAGAAATACCAAGAGCTACCCATGAACCTCCAGTTGGAGCCAGCCAGCTGTATATGGTCACTTCTGTAAATTATGGTTTCTTTGGGGTTACTAGTTTAAGGCCGACCCTACTATAGGGTACCCACAATTTTGAGAAATCACCATCTGTCTATTTCCGCAGATGCCCGTCATCATGAGCACCCTGCATCCCCCTAGCTTGTTCCACCAAAGGAAGGCCGGTGAGCTGCTCTTAACCCCTGGTGACCACATAAAGCCTAAAGCTTCATATAGCCTGTACTACTATCTTTCCTATTGCTTGCAAGGTATATGGTGCCATGAAGTGAAGGGTCTGGGGAGAAAGCTTTTCCTGGCTTAAGCCAAGGCCAAGGCTTGGGGTGTCGGATCGCCAAGGCTCTTACCCTGTACATATGGGTACCGAAGCAGGTTTTGGGGTCTTTAGCTCCTTGCGGCTTCTTCACCATACTGAGAACTTTTACCTTGGCGTGCGAGGGTTAACCCTAAACCCTGAACCCTGAGTGCGGAACTCGTGACTCAGCATGAATCAGGACTGTGAACGGACCTTGAACGCTTTCAGGCTTCATTTGGACATCACTTGATGGGAGCCGGCCTCATCCAGCTTCACAGCTGTGTCTGTGACTGTCTCCGAAGGCGTGGTTCCGTTCTCGATGTCCTTCTCTTTCCTGGAACTGGCCCAAGAGGGTTTCAAGGCATGAGGGTTCGGACAGCAGCTGCCGTCGCTGCTCCGCACTAGATGCAACCTCGCAAATTAAACCCTGAACCCTAAACAGGCCCTAAACCCCAAACCCTAAACACACCGGTCCAGGGGTGCTCGGCCTTTTAACCCTAAACTCGCAATCGTCCGGCCTTCGCGGTTTCTCTGCCTTCTCAGGGTCCCGAGCAGCACGCCTTGAACGAAAACAGCATTAGCCCTAAACCCTATCGGGGATTAGGGATCATCAGCGAAGGATGTCGGGAGCGAGAACTGCAAGAGCGCTGCCTGTGTGGTTAGACTGCTGATGCTCTTAGAGCTTAATGATCTCTCTTCCGGACCTCTAGAATCGTGACAACAAAGCTACGGAATCATGATCTTGTCTGTAGTTTGTCTTTTTGCATAGTTTTCTGCGCCGTCGATTATTTTATCCGCGTGAGAGGTGCGCTATCGAATATCTTAACAGGGAACAACCGGGGAAAACAAAACCGACCACACGCAAGCACACACACGCCTAAGCGCAGGCGCGCAAAAGCGCAAAAGCACAAGGGCGCAAAAGCGCAAGCGCGAAAAAGTGCAAGCGCGCAAAAGCGCAAGCGCGAAAAACTGCAAGTGCCCAAAAGCGCAAGCGCGAAAAAGCGCTAGCACGAAGAAGCGCAAGCGGGAAAAAGCGCAAGCGCGAAAAAGCGCAAGCGCGAAAAAGCGCAAGCGCGAAAAAGCGCAAGCGCACGCCCACGCACGCGCACGCCCGCACATGCCCGCACACGCACACACACGCGCACACACACACACACACACACAAACACCCGCACGCACGCCCGCACGCACACACGCACACACGCACACACGCACACACGCACACACGCACGCACGCACACACGCACGCGCGCACGCACACGCACGCACACGCACGCACGCACGCACACACACACACACACACCACACACACACACACACACACACACACACACACACACACACAGCACGCACCACACACACACACACACACACACACACACACACACCACACACACACACACACACCACACACACAACACTCCACGCGCACGCAGCACGCACGCACGCACGCACGCACGCACGCACGCACGCACGCACGCACGCACGCACGCACGCACGCAACGCACGCACGCACGCACGCACGCACGCACACACGCGACGCACGCACACACGCACACACGCACACACCCACACACCCACACACGCACACACGCACACACGCACGCACACACGCACACACGCACACACGCACACACGCACACACGCACACACGCGCACACACGCGCACACACGCGCACACACGCGCACACACTTGGAAGGTCGTCGTGGTTACTAAGTCATTGGCGGGCTTATAACTGGTTATAAGTGGTTAGCAGACTTAGCACGTAAGTCAAATAAGTGACTTAGCAAGGTTAGCTTTTTAAGAGACTTAGCAGACTTAGGCTAAGTGGACTTAGCGGACTTAGCAGTAAATCTGCTAAGTCCGCTAAGTCCACTTAGCGTAAGTCAACTAAGTGGACTTATAAAGTGCGCTAAGTGGACTTAGGCTAAGTCAGCTAAGTCACTTATAGCCCCCAGGCCCATGCACCGTCAAGCGATGCTTTATATAGGCATAGGCACAGCGCTGAAGAGATGACATCCCAAATGTGATTTTGATATATATATATATATTGTTTTTTACATACATATATCCGGACACAGGCAGACCAATAAAAAAATGGTTGCAGCAGAGACACGCGAGCAGTATATAAATCCGCCAGGGCCCCATGCATGCCCCATTCATGGCTCGTGGAAGCGAATCCCCATATATTAGCGGCATCATGAGCATTATATATGAATACAAGAAGCCGGAGCCCTCCCCCCCCCACCAATCCCCCCCCTGCATGCCCTCCTGCCAAAAAAGCAAAACACGCAAAACCAGCGAACGAAGCTTTGCAGCTTGCAATTTGAGCTATAAGCAAGAAAATGTTTATATAGTTTGAAAGGCACGCGAAAATTCAAACTTAAAAGAAGAAAGCCACGTTGAAGAGCGTCTTCATCTTGGTCAGCACCTTGGCATGCAGGTTATTATAGCGCTGACATTTCCACCCCACGTCGGGCCCGTCTGGTTTATAAGGTTTGGGGTTTAGGGCTTTGAAGCCTGAACCCTAAAGCTTATATTATATATACGTACGTTCTTAAGCGCAAGATGGGAGAATAGATAAGGTCACCCATTTTGTATACCGTGTCACAATCCGGGTGCATTTAGGAATTTAAGGAATTTAACGCATTTAGGCCTCTTTAAATTCTTTAAATTCCTTAAATTCCTAAATTAGCCCTAATTTAGGAATTTAAGGATTTAAAAAAAATTAAATTAAGGCCCGGCCTCCTTAAATTCTTTAAATTCCTTAAATTCCTAAGTTCTGCCTGAAGAAGCCAAGCCACACGCCAAATAGTACATAAAGGTCCTTCGTACAAAGCACTAAACCGTAAAGCCGGGCCCAGTGGCCGGATCCTCTCGTGGCTTCTCCTCGGATTTGGCCGCCTCCTTCTCCTCCTTCTCTTGTGCTTTTTGCGGGGATTTAGGGTGGTCTTCGGGTCTGAAAGGCTTTCGGAAGTTTTTCGGGGGTCTGATGAGGCTTTAGGGGGCTTATAGGGCTTCTGGAGCTTCATCCGCAGCCATATAGGAGTATGCACTGGCGCGCGGTGTATAGGGTTTTCGGGCTACAGGCAAGCAATCCATGGAGCTCTTGCCAAGGGTTTAGGTCGAAGCACCACCGTGCTGTTGGCAACAAGGCTGGCTTTGGGGTTTTTAGGGGCTTGGTGTCTGGGGGTAGGAACTCCTTCTTCTCATGGGCTTTCTTGACGCCCTTCTTGTTCATCTTCACCTGGCGAGACACAGAAAGCAAGCAATCAGGGCTGCCCAACCCGTGCAAAGCCCCCCAAAGCCCCGAAAGCCTAAACCCTCGATTTCCCCACGCCCTACACCCTCAGCCCTTTAGCGCACCTCCTCCAAGGTGTACGTCTGAGTCTCCACGGTGCTGATGCCTTTGATGTCCTTCAGCTTGGCCAGGAACTCTTCCTGGCAAGCGAAGCAGTCGACGAAACTGCCTGAGCCCGAAAGTTTCCTCTTCCCAACCTCAACACCCCGAGAAAAAGCCCAACACCCTCGTAAACTCCTAAATGCCCGCAAACCCCCAAAACCGCCAAGTCATGGCTTTCGGACGGCGGAGCAGCTCGCCCAGTAGCCATACTCTAATAAGGTTGGGCCCGTTTTGGGGTTGGCCCATTTTGCAAGGGAACCCTAAACCCAAAACCCCACCCCTAAACCCTAAAACCCTAAACCCCTAACGACTGAACCCAAAACCCCTAAACCCTAAAACCCTGAAACCTTCGGAAACTCCCGGATGCCTCGGGGGCGAACTTGGCCTTCTCCCACTCACCGAAGCCACTGCAGGTCAGCTTGGGTCACCACCTCCCACTCGCTCAGTTTAGGGGTTAGGGGTTTAGTGGTTTAGAGGTTTAGTGGGTTTATAGGGTGTAGCGCGCTTCGATACTTTAGTGTTTGGGGTGGAGACCCGGCGGTTTAGGCTTTAGGCCTTGAGGCTACATAGGGCTTAGCGGTTCGGGAGATGGAGAGCCCTATAATCCCTGTCTTCCTTGACGGCAGGCCTCCGCGAGGTAGCTTTCAAGGAACAAGGCTCCACCGCCAGCTGAGAAATCCGATTTTTGAGAATGTAAACCCCCTCTAAACACCCCCTCCGATTCCCTCCGACAAATCCTAAACCCTGAGCCCTAAAACCTTAAAGCCCTCAAACCCCAGAGCCCTAAACTACTGTTTTTTTGTTCGATGTTGTGTGCTTCGCCTGGAGGCGGGTTTCGGGTTTAGGGTGACGGCAGTGAGACCAGGGTTTAGGGTTCTCCTTTCTTTTCGACTTCCTGACCAAAACCACAAGATACCCCCAACAAGACAATACAAAACAGCTCCGATTTAACTTTACTATAAACCCGAAAAAACCGAGACCTGATAATATACGTCGGTATAGGTCAATGTAAAGAGCCGAAACCCACAATATCGACTGTGAGAATTAAGCAACCTCATGCACCATCCTTTACACCATGCCTGCATGCGCATGCTGCATCGGCACATCACGACACACAGGGCGCGTCAAACATTTGTGGTGCAATGTAGCAAAAACCCTCCTGGATCTTGAAGATGCACGTTGTCTTGATGTCAGTGGTATTGACAAATGACACTTCGTCTCTGCGAACTCGGAAGCAGTTCTGCAGGTCCGTCTTCTCGTAGAAAAGGACGCAAGTGAGCACGTAGCGGTCAAATTCGCAGTGGTAAGCCACCTCGGCAACCCCAGCAGGCTGAGCCAAAACCACAACATCACCTGTTTGGGCCCAGCGGTTGGGGAGATAATTCGCCCGTCTGGACGACCGCATGAGTGGAGGAGGAGTGATCCCGAGGCTGGCCGTCACGTGGGCCACCACATCCGTCGCAGCCGGCCTGCCATCAATCAGCCCGACAGGTTTGACCAACTCCACGTCTGACAGGTCATCCCAATGACACAGCAACATCTCTCGCATTAAATGTTTCTCGCTTCCAGCTTGACCAGAGTCTTGATGATTTGCGAATCTCTTAAGCTCTTTGTGGCGCCGCTCGTGAACGAAGCATGCCACAAGGAAGCCGTGCTGCTGAAGCATGCTCGGCAAGTGCATTGCCAAGTGCCCTTTGGGCAGAAAGTGCTCGTCGCCGTGTACTTTCACAAAACTTGCCAGATGAAGGGTGATTGCGGACCGCAAAGCATTGGTGTGGCAGCTGCCATTCGCTCGGCTTGCCAGGAGCAACCAATCCTTCAACGGAGTATATATATATATATGTACCTTATCTAAACCTGCATAGTCAGCGAACATACATTCGGGAAGTCGCAAAGCCTCGATGCCTTTTATAGTCGCGAGCTATATGCACATATACGCACCGCATATACGCCCTGCGACGGGTGCCCGCGAGTTTCCTGCAGGCACAGAAAAGCCGGGAGAGAGAAAAAAAAACTCGCACGCATGCCAAGAAACAAGCACGTTGCACGCCAGCAGGAAGCAACGGATGGCTTCCTGGCAGTGCTCAGGCAACGCAAGCCGTTGCCTAAGCTCCTCAGCCCAGACCCTCATGACAGGGAAGGCGCTCAACGCATCTGACGCAGAACTCCTCCAATCATCCTTCTGTTTCTTGTCCTGGAAGACGTGCTTGGCCCCGGCCCCGTGCACTGCTGGCCATTGAAATTGGTTGGAAAACGCGTGCAGATCCGCGACCTTGATCTTTGCTGGTGCCAAGGATTGGAGAAGCAGGTTGGCCTCCAGATGGAACAAACCACCAACCAAGTAGATATGCATCCAGTCATAGCAGAGGCACTTGGTGGGGTCCATGTGCTCCATCACGCAATCGGAGGACAATGGTCCGCAGGGAGCATGGTTGAAGCCTAGCGCGATCTCCAGTTCGTCCATGTCACCTTTGTTTAGAACAGTGCTTCTTTCTGCAAGATGCTGGACCACGTCCTTCAGGGAGTGCAAGTCGTGCTGCAGGAAGCGATCCTCACGCAGGCACGTGTGCAGCACCAGCGGCGCCGTGAGGGGATTCGGTGCGTACCGCGTCCGCACCACGTTCCTGCAGAGCATGCACAGAAGCTTACCGCTTGCACCTTTGTTGGCGAACATCATTTTCAGCGCACTCTCGTCACTGACAACCATGCTGATGTTGGCACAGAGAAAGTGCCCCTCCATTTGCAGCCCATGCGCGAAATTGCCCGGCGTCTGAAAGAAACTTTCGATGGCAGCACGGCAAAGCTGGCTCATCCCATCACGGAGCTGCCGCACGGTCTTTGTCCTGGTAGCGCGCAACAGAAACCAGGCGTGTTCGTGACCCAGTGCGTCCGGACCGAACTCACGGAAGCTGTAATAGATTGCTTGGAGTTTCCGACTGTTGCTCGGTTTTAATGCATTTCCAGGCGTGATCTCATCGCTATAAAACAAAAGGCCCCATTTGGAATGGATGCTGGATGGATGCTCACGCAAGCGCCGGTCCAGGAAACTCCTAAACTTGTTGCAGGAGCGGTGGCAGTACCACACCATAGCTGCCGGGTGCAAGTAGTGAACTTCTACTGCCTTGCCGTTAACGCCCTGAAGCTGCCACGTCCTTTGGACGGGGCCGAAGGGTGTCTCCACATCGACAGCCTCTTCACGTTTGCGCTTCACTGAACTTCTGGAAATCCCAGCGGGCAAGCTGTCTGCATCACGAACAGCTCTCAAAATATCCGCCAGTGCACTTTGGGACACGAATTTCTTGCGCCCCAACTTCGCAAGATCCAACATGCCGGCGAGCAAACCCCTGCCGACATTCGGTGCGAGCACATCAAGGCCCTGCACAACGAGAGAAAGAGAGAGATAGGTACCATAGATATATGTATATATGCAAATTAATTTCACATGAAATAGATACGTCCATACACATAGCGGGATCGTGCACGCTGGTGCCCGAAGCAACATAAAGTGACTTCACGTCTATATAGGTATATACACATGCGTCGTATGCAGCTGCAGCACGCACAGGGCCCGAGGTACGGCATGCAACCAACATCCATGGTCTGAAGCATATGCAATATACCCAAGCTCCTGTATACAAGCCTGATGCTAAGAATCAATCCTCCTGCCAGCAAAAGACTCAAGGATGACTATACTTGCATCTTCTTCACAGTTAAAACCCTATATATATATATATCGACATATACACATCTTAGAAAAGCAAAACATGTTAAGTTACAACCTCTGCCGCACATATATGTTATATCAGCCCTTGTATATAAACTATACACATATATAACATACACATATACAGATACACATATAAACCAAAAGCTATCATAAGTACATGTGATACAGATATATATGTATATATAAACTGTATATGCAAAAAAACCATGGATGGCATGCGTGAAACCGATCAAGTCCAGAGGTGTTCACCCCAATCCCCCGCCCTGCAGGCAGCATATATTCCACGCCCCCATGCAATAAAAACCCTCCAAAGCCTAAATTACCAAAAGCCTTCTAAACCATAACCCCTAAACCTTATATATATATATATATATATAAAACCTCTACCCTATGTATAAACCCTATATATAAGTTAACCCTATATATATATACCCTAAAACCCTACAATCCCCTTAAACCCCATATATATATATATATCTATAGATATAACCCTAAACCCCCCAAAAAAAACAACCCACAACCATGCATAGGAGGGGAGGAGGGACTGGCCAACACTGCACCATATATACCCCCATGCAGAATTTAAGTTTAACCCTGCATGCCCAACCAAGATATATATATATATATATATACATATATACATATATATATATATACTTTCAGATATATACAAGGACAAACACGCAGACAGCTTTAAAAATGACACACCCCTGCCTGCGTGGGGTCGATGCCCCTGGCCACGAATTCCCGTCGCCACGGGAAGACACGGGTGCGCGGGCAGCCTCACGATGCAGGACAAGCGCTGGACAATTG